ATTCCCTGTGCAATTCCCAGGAGCACTGGGATGTGCAGCTGGAATATTTGGATATCCCAGTTTCTGTCTGAGATTGGGTTTATTGATTCCCTGTGTAATTCCCAGAAGCACTGGGATGTGCAGCTGGAATATTTGGATTCCCAGTTTCTGTCTGAGATTGGGTTTATTGATTCCCTGTGTAATTTCCAGGAGCAGTGTGACACTGGAGTACTGGGAATGTGCAGCTGGAAAATTTGGATTCCCAGTTTCTGATCTGAGATTGGCTTTATTGATTCCCTGTGCCATTCCCAGGAGCACTGGGATGTGCAGCTGGAATATTTGGATATCCCAGTTTGTGTCTGAGATTGGGTTTATTGACTCCCTGTGTAATTCCCAGGAGCACTGGGATGTGCAGCTGGAATATTTGGGTATCCCAATTTCTCTCTGAGATTGGGTTTATTGATTCCCTGTGTAATTCCCAGGAGCACTGGGATGTGCAGCTGGAATATTTGGATATCCCAGTTTCTCTCTGAGATTGGGTTTATTGATTCCCTGTGCAATTCCCAGGAGCACTGGGATGTGCAGCTGGAATATTTGGATTCCCAATTTCTCTCTGGGCTTGCTCTGCTGTGACTTTGTCCCTGACCCTCCAGGACCAAGCAGCTCAAACCCAACTTTACCTTCCAGAATTAACTCCGGATTTTCGCTGAGGCTCCTTTGAATGTGAATTTTTGCTTTCTGCTGCTTTTATCCCCTTCCTCCAAAGCACCCACACTCCCCTTTTCCCTGTTTCCCTGTTTTGCAGGGCACCATGCTGCAGGCCATTGAGAGGTACATGAAGCAGGCCATTGTGGACAAGGTCCCTGGCGTGTCCAGCTCTGCCCTCGTGTCTTCCTTGGTAAGCAAAGCTGAGATTTTTGTCAATCTGGTGTTTTGGCAGGCTGGGAAGGTGACCCTGCTGTGCTGATTTTGATTTTTTTCCCTGAGATATTTCTTCATCTCACTGGAAAATAAGAAAAACCCACTTTCCTTTCTCTCCTCCAATTCTTTTCTTACATTTGAGTGCACCAATCACAATAATTTCTAGTGCAAACTGCTCAGGTTTCTGCAGCCAGTGTAAAACATGAAAATATGAAAATAAGAAAAACCCACTTTCCTTTCTCTCCTCCAATTCTTTTCTTACATTTGAGCACATCAATTGTAATAATTTCTAATGCAAATTTCTAGTGCCAAATGCTCAGGTTTCTGCAGCCAGTGTAAAACATGAAAATAAGAAAAACCCACTTTCCTTTCTCTCCTCCAATTCTTTTCTTACATTTGAGCACATCAATCACAATAATTTCTAGTGCAAACTGTTCAGTGTAAAACATGAAAATAAGAAAAACCCACTTTCCTTTCTCTCCTCCAATTCTTTTCTTACATTTGAGCTCATCAATCACAATAATTTCTAATGCCAAATGCTCAGGTTTCTGCAGCCAGTGTAAAACATGAAAATAAGAAAAACCCACTTTCCTTTCCTCCAATTCTTTTCTTACATTTGAGCGCATCAATCACAATCATTTCTAGTGCAAACTGTTCAGTGTAAAACATGAAAATAAGAAAAACCCACTCTCCTCCAATTCTTTTCTTACATTTGATTACATCAATCACAATAATTTCTAGTGGTTTCTGCAGCCAGTGTAAAACATGAAAATCTCCTCCAATTCTTTTCTTACATTTGAGTACATCAATCACAATAATTTCTAGTGCCAACTGCTCAGGTTTCTGCAGCCAGTGCAAAACATGAAAATAAGAAAAACCCACTCTCCTCCAATTCTTTCCTTACATTTGAGTACATCAATCCCAATAATTTCTAGTTTAAACTGCTCAGGTTTCTGCAGCCAGTGTAAAACATGAAAATAAGAAAAACCCACTCTCCTCCAATTCTTCTCTTACATTTGAGTACATCAATCCCAATAATTTCTAGTTTAAACTGCTCAGATTTCTGCAGCCAGTGTAAAACATGAAAATAAGAAAAACCCACTCTCCTCCAATTCTTTCCTTACATTTGAGTACATCAATTGTAATAATTTCTAGTGCAAACTGTTCAGTGTAAAACATGAAAATAAGAAAAACCCACTTTCCTTTCTCTCCTCCAATTCTTTTCTTACATTTGATTACATCAATTGTAATAATTTCTAGTGCCAAATGCTCAGGTTTCTGCAGCCAGTGTAAAACATGAAAATAAGAAAAACCCACTTTCCTTTCCTCCAATTCTTTTCTTACATTTGAGTACATCAATTGTAATAATTTCTAGTGCAAACTGTTCAGTGTAAAACATGAAAATAAGAAAACCCCACTTTCCTCCAATTCTTTTCTTACATTTGAGTACATCAGCCACAATAATTTCTAGTGCCAAATGCTCAGGTTTCTGCAGCCAGTGCAAAACATGAAAATAAGAAAAACCCACTTTCCTCCAATTCTTTTCTTACATTTGAGCACATCAATCATAATAATTTCTAATGCAAACTGCTCTGTGTAAAACATGAAAATAAGAAAAACCCACTTTCCTTTCTCTCCTCCAATTCTTTTCTTACATTTGAATACATCAATCACAATAATTTCTAGTGCCAAACTGCTCAGATTTCTGCAGCCAGTGTAAAACATGAAAATCTCCTCCAATTCTTTTCTTACATTTGAGTACATCAATCACAATAATTTCTAATGCAAACTGCTCAGATTTCTGCAGCCAGTGTAAAACATGAAAAT